TGCGTTTCTTTAGTTTCAAGCGGTGCCAGCAGGGGTCACTGCCGAGGCCACATTCAGGAGGGAGGCCTGGGATCTCGGTATTCCACTTCTGCACCTCCTCCCACGCCCGGTCTCTCTTTGCACGGCCCTCACTCTTCACTTTCGCTCAAGCTTCGGGTGTGGAAACATCTCAGCTGGTTTCCCACAGCAAAAGCGGAAGCCGCCAGCCTATCACTTCTGCCACATTCAAGGGGTCAAAACAAGTGAAAAGTCCAGCCCACTCTCCAGAAGGAAAAGGATGGCTCTTGCTGGGAGGAACAGAACACATAGCCAGAAATGGCAGAGACTGCTGGTGGCCAGCTCTGGAGATGATCTACCACACGTGTGTGTGTGTGTGTGTGTGTGTGTGTGAGAGAGAGAGAGAGAGAGAGAGAGAGAGAGAGAGAGAGAGAGAGACAAGAGTGTAGGTTTCTAATAACTCTGGAATAAATAGGTGAGCTGTTCCCAGAAACGAACCCCCAGTGAAGAAGGGAAGGCTGCTTGGAATGAACGTGACGGGTCAAGGATAAAGGTGTTTATATCTCACAGAGACCGTCTGGGGCGAGCAACGGAGCCCGTGTTGTGCAACAGCACAGGTTATTTTCTCCACTCTTGGCACAAATAAACAAGCCCCCAAACTCGCAAATGGCGGCCACGTGACCTGCATCTCTAAGGTCTTGCACAAGGCCGAGGAGACAAGCTGATATTTCAGCACCAGGGGCATTTGCTAACACCGGGCGGTCCTTTGTTTCCTCCTCGGTGACACTCACTGGCATTTGGTTGGAAGACACCACAAAGGAAGTGGGCAATTACACTGCCCCCCTCGGCAGGAGACAGTCTGGGAGAGGCAGTCGTACAAGTTTGGAGCAGTGCCGGGGCAAATCCAGAGCGTCTAGTGCTTAGAATTCCATGATCCGGCTGAAGACCAAAGATCGTTGTCTACGACTCCTAGCACACCCCACATAGTTAGCCAAGGAGTTTTCACTTTATCCTAACATGCAGAACCCCGTGCCGCATTTTGTGTATATGCACGCTTGGGAGGCCACGGGAGGAAGTGGAGAGCCACAGTGAGCCAGGCCTGCTCCCTCAGCTGTCACTTTACCTTACTCCGTGGGACCGGTCATTTGAGCCTGCACACACAAGCCAGCTGAGGGCTCTGGGGGGTGTGAAGGCAGGGTTCACACTTGCTCACAGAAGCTTTCACAAACCGAGGTTTCTTATTTCTGAACCTCAATGCAGGAATGGACTTCGAAGGCGGGGTCTCCTGAACTGTAGACAAATGTGTGTGTCTCAGCATTGCGTGCATTCCAGAAGATCCAAGGCTAGTTTTTCTCAAAATGTCAGAAGAAAAAAATGATAGTCTCTGCAGAGAGTTCCGATGCGTGACCCCGGCACCGGTCACACAACCTGCACTTCCTGGATGCCATTTGGCCTATCAGTGGCTCTTTGGATGAAAAGGCAGGAAGGTGAAGTTACTAATACACCCGTTAAGTCGATGTTTTCCACCCCATTCCATATTCCAGAAATGTGTACCGTAAGCTGTGGTCTATTTTCCTACCGGCCTTTCATACGTAGCCCCAACCTCCATTTGAACCAACTACTTTTCGCATCAACTCCATGCAAGACCATTCCCAACCCTAGGCAGGCCATCTGCCCAAAACTACAGGGACAAAAACTAAGCTAACAATCACAAGTGTCATCTTGGCCTATACAGGGTAAACCATATTGTTTAAAAAAAAAAAAAAAAAATCACTTGACTCCCTCTACTTCCTTGGGAGAAATGGGAATAACAGGCAGAGGGATCACAGGGCTCATGATGGCATCGTTAACAGGTCTGGAATCAGAGGGAATCAGGACTTGGTTTCTATAATCCAGCAGCAAGAACTCTGAGCCTCCAATTTTCCCATGAAGAAGAGCGAGGTATGAGGAGGGAAGGAAACCTCAGGAAGGGATGATGCTTACTGAATAGCTCAATCCTAAAATCAGCAGCACCAGAACAGGGCAGGGCTTCTGCTTCCTGGTTCAGGTCTCTGGCCCCCAGCTGCTGCTTATAGGATCAACTGAAGTCCTTTCCTTCATCTGAAAGTTTCCACATTTATTTTTCTTGCAACGGAAACCACTAAAAGTATGGGCACCTGTGGCTGAAGCAAGGAAATCCAAAAGGGGGAGGATGACTGGGGTGCATGAATGGATGGCTCAGTCGGTGGAGCGTCTGACTTCGGCTCAGGGCACGATCTTGCGGTTGGTGAGTTCGAGCCCCGCGTCGGGCTCTGTGCTGACAGCTCGGAGCCTGGAGCCTGCTTTGGATTCTGTGTCTCCCTCTCTCTCTGCTCCTCATCCTGTTCACACTCTCTCCAAAATAAACATTAAAAGAAATTTTTCTTTTTTTAAAAAGTGGAGGGGTGGGGGGGATGACTGATGATCATGGAACCAAAAACGTGGAAAGATAGAGGGTAGGGTGTTAGGTTCTCACGCTGGACAGACTACAAAATGAATGTTCTGCCTTCATTGTTTATGGTCACCTTAGGCTCCAGGCGTCCTGCAGAACCAGTGTGAATTACTCCTGCGTGGGGCTGACGTGAGGGTCAGAGGCAGTGGGAAGGCTCATAGCAGTGCCAAGCATATACAGGAAGTAGCCAGCACACGCCAGGGCTCCCTCCTCCTCCGGAAACAGAGTAGGTGCTTCCACTTAGAGGGTTTCAGGAGCTGGATCCAGGAATAATTCCAGACTTGTTCTGCTAGAAAAGAACGTAAGCAGCCGAGTTGCTTTTGTGCAGGTAAAAAGAGTCAGAGGGGTCAGTCTTACACAAAATCGCCCAGGAAGTGAACACTCTGTTCCCATACCTGTAAGGGATTTAAACCAGAGAAATCTTTTACTTTTCCATAAGGCACGTTGGGCGGCAATCAGCTGAGTCTTGGGATCCGGACTGTGCGCAAGAAAACTTCTAGTGCCCTGACCTCAGCATTCCAGGCTCATGGCTCACATGACGCATTCCAATGTTTTAGAAATGTGAGCGAGCAGGGGCGCCTGGGTGGCTCAGTCGGTGAAGCGTCCGACTTCAGCTCAGGTCGTGATCTCAGTCCGTGGGTTCAAGCCCCACGTCGGGCTCCGTGATGACAGCTCGGAGCCTGGAGCCTGCTTCAGATTCTATGTCTCCCTCTCTCTCTGCCCCTCCCCTGCTCATGCTCAGTCTGTCTCAAAAATAAATAAAAACATTAGGAAAAAAAAAATGCGAGTGAGCAGAATTTCCCTTTGATACAAATATCTAGAATAGGGAGATTTGGGTATACATCATTCTAAGAGTTTAAGAAGGGTCTTTGTTTCTTTTTTAAGAATTTATATATTTTGAAAGAGAGTAAGCAAGAGGGGGAGGGACCAAGAGGGAGAGAATCCCAAGTAGGCTCCGTGCTGTGAGCGTGGAGCCCGACCAGGGGCTTGTTCTGGAAACTGGAAGACTATGACGTGAGCCACAATCAAGAGTCGGCCACTCAACTGTGCCAGCCTTCCTTTTCCTGCACTGGGTACACGTTCCAGGGCAAATGAGCTCCTTTCAGACATCCTCTCACCTTGGGAGTCAGCGACCGGGAGGAGACAATGCTATTAACAAAGGCGCTTAGTGAAGAGAGGGAAACCTGTCCCCACTCCACTCCAAGTAGCCACTGTATCCCGGTTATCCAACTTCCTGCTGGTTCCTTTGCACTTGTAATCACAGGAAAATGCACTAATAATAATGAGGCATCAGGCTGGCTCAGTTTGTAGCACATGTGACTCTTGATCTCGGATTTAGGAGTTCGAGCCCCATGTTGGGCATACAGCTTACTTAAAAAAAAAAAAAAAAA